TCTGGAGTCTGAGAATGTTTTTTCTTTTTCTCTTCCTCCTCCATTTTCAGCTGCTTCCCATAGCCTCCCCATCCCCTTTATTTACTCTGCTTTCCCTTCCCTGTGTCTTCCTTCAACTTGGCACTTGCTTTGAACCGTGAGGGGAAAATATGCAACGTTGAACCAAGGGACAGATGTTCTTTTTGACTCCCTTTTCTGCCTTTGTTCTCCTCCCTCTTTTCACTCCCATGGCCCAGTCTGGAGTCTGAGAATGTTTTTTCTTTTTCTCTTCCTCCTCCATTTTCAGCTGCTTCCCATCGCCTCCCCATCCCCTTTATTTACTCTGCTTTCCCTTCCCTGTGTCTTCCTTCAACTTGGCACTTGTTTTGAACCGTGAGGGGAAAATATGCAACGTTGAACCAAGGGACAGATGTTCTTTTTGACTCCCTTTTCTTTCTGTGGCTAGTCCACCTCATCTTTCCCAGATTTTAAACTGTGACTTCTAGAGTGTGTGTGGGTGTGGGTGTGTGTCTACGAGTGCATGGGTGTAAATGAGGAAAACGAAGATGTGAGTAAGCGCCCCAGCTCCATCTGCCCCCCCCCAATCCAGTTTACCCCATCTGCGTGACAAGGCAAAACAAAATGTATGGGGAAAAAAACTAGCAGAGCGACATAACCAAGTTTTTCATTTTTCATTTTTTCTTCTGAAGGCAGGGTTCTGGGGAGAAATAAAAATATGACAAAAATCAGAACACACTATTGGCCTTAGCTGAAAAAAAAAAAATGGGGGGGGGAAGAGGAAAAAAAGAAACCCAAGTTTGACAAAGGAAATATGCAAACTCTGTAGGTCACATGGTGACTGGATTTTTTTTTTCTAATTCCAAATAAAAAACAGTGTGGGGAAAATAAACCCTTCTGGTGAATTTTTGATGCGCCAAAGTTGAGCGGTTTGAAGGGTTTTTTCCCATTCTTGGGGCTAGAAGAGAACTCCATCTATCCTAGCTGTCGTTCTTCTATTGCTGCTGTTCTGATGGAGGAGCAAATACTGGAGTTCACATCTGTAGTGAGGATGAAATTTTGGATTGCTCATTTACTCTCTGTAGCCCAACATCTCTGACCTCACTTGCTTGGTTTTATGAAAATGGTTTAAAACAGACTTCCTCCTTCTGGTTTGATAGAATGAGGTAAGAGGGAAAACCGTAGCTTAATCCGATGGGAAAGGACAGTTCAGCTGACAAAGGGAACAGTGGGATGAATAACATTGTAATGGTGGCCCCAGCTTCATTTGTACAGATTTAGACCACCTCAGTGAGATGGCATCTCCGGGGTGTTCTGGTCCACCCTGGTAAATACCCTTAGGGCCCACGGCTGATGCCAAACACAGTTCATTCAGCCCTCCCTTTTGGAGGCGACCAGAAGAGGGTCTACTGTGGTTGAAACATGTCCCTATTTTAGAAGAGTTGCCTGCCTTGGATCTCATTCCCAGGGAAGCATAGTCACTATTTGGGCCTAAGGAACAAAGGCAATCACCTTATATAACAGCCACAATGCTGTATTCTTGTTTCCTTTCCAATCCTCCAAGTAAGGTCCTTCCAGCCTGTTTGGAAATGCAATCTCTCTCTCTCCCTCTCTCTCACACACATTTATATAGCCGCCCATCTCACTCAAAGCGACTGGGCAGCATACAACAATTGCTTTATTTATTTCATAAAAATCCAATCTGCTGAAGAGCTGTCCTTTGTTTACAACTGATCTTTACTCCTACAGGGTCAAAACAACTGGGGTTGAGACACAGAACCAGCTGTGGGCTCTGCTCAGCAGAGATCCCTTTTAGGAGATCAGCCATTGCTCTCTTTCTGCTTTCCCTCCCTTCCTAAGTACTATGAAACTGGACACCCACCAGAACCACCAATTATGGGCAGGTTGGGGTGTCTTTTGTTCCATGGGAATGCCACTCTGTGCTTAAATTGTGATAGGCAACTTGATATTGCAAGTCCAGGTGACTAGCAAGTTACACCTGCTTCATCAAGTCCAGGTGTCCTGCAGCAATTTAAATCACATCAGAAATTATCAGGCTGTACTATGAGAGCCAGTTTGGTGTAGTGGTTAAGGCATTGGGCCAGAAACCAGGAGACACGAGTTCTAGTCCTGCACTGGGCACGAAGGCAGCTCAGTGACCTTGGGCCAGTCCCCCTCCCTCGGCCGTAGGAAGGAGGCAGTGGCAAACCGCTTCTGAAAAGCCTTGCCAAGAAAACTGCAGGGATTAGTCCAGGCAGTTGCCAGGAGTCGACACTGACTCGAAGGCACCCCCCAAAAAGGCTATAATATAGCAAACTATGGTTATGCAAGCTGGCTATATACAGTGCAAGCCAGCCCAGCAGCTTCTGTGGGATGTCGAAGGCAGCCACACACAAGTCGAAGACAAGTCTCACAAATTTGCAACACGCCTAGGAGGGAGAAGGAAGTGACACCTACAGCCATTCTCTGGCACTATCCTGACCTGGATATTCACCACCTGTATTGTATATAAATGGCTACTTCCACGAAGCATGTTCTTCTCTTCATTCCCTATTTTTTAATTTTAACCCAAATGACCTTATCTACCACAGGAAATGCTTAAAGTGGCTTGCAAACACAGATGAAAACACACCCACAAATTAAAAGCAGCTACAAAGAAGGCAGGAAACATTAATTAGCAGCAAGCTTGAAACGCTTGGTCCCCCCTCCCTCCCTCGTATAAACCAGGCTCCTCGGTTGCTAGAGAAAAATATACTTTTTTGAAAAGCAACCACAGCTCCTGGGTGTGCAGAAATGACGAAGTTACGCTCTTCAGCATAAGCAGCAGGTTTGGGTCGACCTTGCCATCGACTGGGATGGGATGCGGGACGGGGGCAGTTCGGTCCTGGCAACCGCGTTCCTCCTCCGGCTTCAGCGCTCCGGAGGAGTCGAGTCGGCGTCTCTTCCCGGCGGTGGAGTTGCGCGCACGCTCAGCCATGCCCGCTGCGTGGCCGCGTGCGTTCACACGAGGCGCGCAGCCCAGCGGCGGGGCTCGCCCGAGACACCAAGGGGCCAGACACGCT